TGATTTTATGTAAGCCGCCCTGAGTCCCCTCAGGGAAAAGGGCGGCCTATAAATGTTAATAAACCTAAACCTAAACCTCTCGCCGCCGACTTTCCGCGCCCGGCAGCCCGCAGCGTCTCCGCTTGTCCTGCAGCCCGCCGAGTCTGACTCCAGGAGCAGCTGGGATCGCGCTGAAGGCAGCGGGATCAAGAGCAGCGCCGCCTCTTACTTAACCTAACTCGGGACCTTTCGTTTGGATGCCTCCCCACTTCCATCTCTCGTCCGCTCGACCCCCAACACAACTTCAGCTCTGCTCACGTCCCTCGTGGAAAGGATCTTTCCCCCCTTCACCCATCAATAGAGTCACCCAATCCCCTCTTCGTCGACCATATTTCTCCCTGTTCGGAAAATAGTGATGCTGTGAAAAACACGCAAAAAACAGTCCCCCCCCCATTTCTTGAATGTTTCATTAGTAACTAAAAGAAGATATTGTAGTTCTAGAAATAACAGAGCTGTAAGTTTTATACATTTTAATGTGTAGTTTAACTTTGAGAGCAAAACATTCTTTGGAATAGTCTTTCCTCATAAAGTAAATAGTCTTTACTTTATTCATCTTTATTTCACTAAAAGGGTGCAACTTCTTTCCCTTGAAAAACATAAGAGGAAAAGATAGGAAAATACTTTGTTTCAGCTGGAGTATGACTTTTGCATTGGAATCTCTGGTATTTAAATAGTTGAATTTAGCTGTTCGCTATTACTAAATACTAACTGAAATGGGCTCATAAAGCTTCATAATTTATAACTACAATAGCGTATTAATAGGCAATTTGTTTTGGATCTTGCTAAATATTGAAGTGTGAAGAAAAACCGGACTAAAATGTTCAAAGAAATCTGGTAGAATAGTTTGTTGCCTTACTTTAATAATGTGGACATAGCATATGCATCAAAAATGAACACTTGGTAAAATCAGAGAAATTTCTATTGTGTTATTTAAATGATGAAATATGTAATTATAACTCTTTGAGCCCTTTCACCTGCTTCTCACAAATCACTTACAGAACGAGCTTCCTCAAATTCAGTGGAATTTACTTGCATTGCTTGCCAGACGATGTTTTTTTTCTCCATGAGGAATATGGTATTTCTTCACAACTATACAGTATCTATGTGTACTCACACATAAGGCTCTTTGCCTTGTATGCCTAAGCATTGCAAACAAATGTCATAGTAACTCCCCCCCCCCATATCTTCATGACATGGCTTTTTTCTTATTTGCACCTGCCAGGTGCTCCTGGGACAGGCCCTAGCTGTTTCGTTTTTAAAACACGGTTCTCCCTTTTCCAACATGACTTTTCAATCAATATCATCTGGCTTGCTTCCCTGATCAAGGGTTGGGATCCATCTAGCTTTTTTTTTTTTTTAGTCTGCTGTATGCATGCCCTCCTACCTGAGGTCATTGGACATTGCCCTCTATAGCTATTTTAGCTTGGTCTGCAAGAGATACCAGATGCCTGGCTATCCAGAGGCAATCTCCCCATCTCCCTGGGGCTTCCCGTGGAGTTGGTTGCCAGAATCATAGACCTCTTTTTAAAAGCCTATGTTTGGAAGGGTTCCATCACAAAACCGCGTTCGACTAAAGCGCGCTCGACAAAACCG